CCCTCAGCCCGGGAGAGCTCTGGGGCAGTGCGAACCCAGGGTGGACTCCCTGACAACCTCCCTTGTCTCTTTCATCTCCAGTCTCCCAGCTAAGTTAGATGGACGGTCCACATTAGCCGGGCAAGCTGCCCCTCTTCTGCCTCCCCACCAACTCCCCTTGTCAAGGGCGATGCCTCTGTGTGGGGGGAAGCTAAGGAAGGGGGAGGGTCAGAGCATTTGGGTGGGAGTTGGGGGTGCCCTGCCCCTCAAGCGGGAATGGTGCCCCCGGGGAAGAAACCAGCCGGAGAAGCCTCCAACTCCAACAAGAAGTGCAAGTGCTACTTCAACGAGCACTGGAAAAAGGAGTTTCCCTGGCTGGACTTCGACTACGAGAGAAAATTGATGTTTTGTCTCGAGTGCCGCCAGGCTCTGGTGCGGAACAAGCGCGGCAAAGCTGAGAACGCCTTCACCGTGGGCACTGACAACTTCCAGCACCACGCTCTGCTGTGCCACGTGACCCACCGCCAGGCTCTGGCTGTCAACCAGGGCCAGCCCACCTTGGAGGCTGAGGGGCCTACCCAGACCTGGCAAGCACCCCTCCCTCCAGGGGCATCGAGGTGGAGGCGGACCCGGCCAAAGTGGCTCTGCTGACTACCGTGAACTGCATGGCCAAGGAGGACGTGCCTGATGACCGCTGCTCTGCCCTGCTGGAGCTGCAGAGGTTCAGCCTGTGCCAGGCGCTGCTGGGCACGGAGCGTGGCGATTACTACAGCCCCAGGAGGGTGAGGGACATGCAGGTGGGTGGCAGCCAGAGGTAGGGGGAGGGCTTGGGGAGGGAGGACACTGAGCCATCTGGCCCAGTGCCAGGCCCCTGGGCAGCGGCCAGAGCGCTTCATTCATACCTTCACCGGTCAGAGCCTTCACGGAGCGCGCTCTGTGTGCCAGGCCCTGGGTCAGCTGCGGGGGGCAGCCAGACCAGGTCCTGTCCTCGAGGGCACAGCGATGCTCCCCTTGCTACCTGGGCCAGAGAGAGCAAGCTGCTGGGCCTGGGGGCGTGACTGGCCCACAGAAGTGTTTTTGATGGTTTTTACAGTGTTTTTTGAAAAACTTAAATTAGCTTCCGAGTCTAACAAAATGAAAGATTACATATAAAAATCTGGATTTGTTACTTGTACTGAAAAACTAGGTCCCGGTGCTCTCGGGGCATGACATGGTGGAGCTGGGGAGCAGGTCCATTCCCTCTGCTTTGTCCTTGGCCCAGGGCAAGCTCAGTGTCACCCACGTGGCCCCCGGCGGCATGCAAATTGCAGCTCTGTCCTAGGTACTGCCTGTGCGAGTCCTAGGGGCTGGGAGGTGGGGAGGTGACCTCATCTTAGAGATGGGAGACAGACAGAGCACACAGCTGCGGCCCTGTGTCGCTGGCCGGGAGTGGGGAGTGAACATGTCCATCAGTGAATCCCTGAGCAGCAGAGAGGAGGAGACCCCCCGGGGACAAGGCAGATAGATGAGTGATGCTGTAGTAACATGCACATAACAAACTCTGTAGAATCTTTATGGTTCATAAAGCATTTTACATTTCTTTACTATTATTATTATTTAAAGATTGTATTTATTTATTTTTAGAGAGAGGGGGAGGGCCGGAGAAAGAGAGAGAAACGTCAATGTGTGGTTGCCTCTCATGTGCCCCGAGATGGGGACCTGGCCTGCAACCCAGGCATGTGCCTTGACTGGGAATCGAACCAGTCACCCTTTGGTTCAGGAGGCCGGCCCTCAGTCCACTGAGCCACACCAGCCAGGGCGCATTTTACATTTCAACAACAAAAAGTTACATTGATAACTCACAACCACCTTTGGAGGAGATTGGGGGCACCTATTAGCCCGATTTTAGAGCCGAAGAAACAGCTCAGAGAGGTAAAATCATTTGCCCAAGGCCACACACCCAGTAAGTGGCAAAGCTAGGATTAGTCCCCAGTTCTGACGCCAAGGCCTGTGCTCTTCCTGTCACCCTGTACTATCTGCCTCTCGTTCTCAGGACGAGCCTCACCGCCCTCCCCCGCTTCTCTCTCTGGCTGTCCCAGGTAGCCATTGCCGGCGTCTTGCATGCAGAGGCCTGCCAGTGCCTGCAGGCGTCCCCATACGTGGGGCTGGTGTTGGACAACACCACGGACTGGCCCGAGTCCCCCAGTCTGGCCCTGTTTGCCACTTCTGTGTCCCCCTGTGATGGCCAGCCTGCCACCACCTTCCTGGGAAGTGTGCAACTATCGGAGGGCGAAGCCACCCCTGGCCAGCTCCTGGACGTCCTGCAGGCCTTCGACATGTCTGCACCCAAGCTGGCCTGGCTCAGCTCCAGCCTCCCCAGGGACCGCCTGGGGGTGTGGGCCTGCAGCTCCCGGCTGCCTGCCCACTGCTTCTGGAGCTCCGTGGCCTCCCCGGCCGGCCGGATCCCAAGCCCCCGGCCTACCTAGGTGAATATGAAAGTGTCCCGGACGCCCTGTTCTGCCTCCACAGTGGCCCCAGTTGCCACATGGTCCCTGCCCTCCGGGCAGCACTGGACCTTGCAGCTATGGACCTGGCAGGACCCTGGCCAGTGCCCTGGGCCTCCTTGCTGCCTATTGTGGAAGCAGTGGCTGAGGCCTGGCCTTGCCTGGTGCCCACACTGGAGGCCTCTGTGCCCACCTCGCCAACGGCTAGGGCACTGGCCCTCGCCCTGCCCCAGTTCACCTTCGTGGCCTTCACCGCCTGTTCCTGGACACTCTGCCCTGCATGCAGAAGCTCGCCTTTGTCCTGCATTGGGAAGACCTGGACTTGGCCTTGCTGCAGCCCCTGGTGATGGCAGCTGCAGCCTCTCTCCAAGCACAGCAAAGCTCCGGTGACACGCATCTCCAGGGCTTCCTGCAGGAGCTGGCATCCTCCAGCCCCGACTTGGGCGGTGGGCGCTGTACCTACCACGGCTTGGAGCTGGTTGGCTACTCCGAGGCTGCAGTCTGGGGCTTGGAGCGGGCTGTGGGACTCCTACTCTATGCCCTCACTGGACGCCGTGGCTGCGTTCGCTGCGATCTTCGATGTCTGCCTTTACCCGCAGGCGCCTGAGGAGTTGGGCGTGCCTGAGGAGTTGGGCGCACATGGAGAAGTGTCACTGCGGCTCCTGCTGCACATCTATGCCCCGGATGTGGTGCACCAGCGTGCGTTGGGCGACTTTACGCTCTTCAAGTGTGTGGTCTGCAGCCTGGGGCAGCTGAGCCCACGGGCTCTGTGCTCCAAGCTGGCATGTGCACACTCTGAGCTACAAGAGCTCTTCCCTGACTTCGCAGCCCTCGCCACCCTGACCTTGGTATTGCCCATGGGTGCTGGCCTCCTGATCAAGGTCAGCCGCAGCCAGGAGCTGTGGTGGAGGGGGCAGGGCGGAGCAGGGAAAGGCCGAGGTGACCCTGTAGTCAAGATCGCTGTGGATGGTCCCCCACTGTACGAGTTTGACTTTGCGATGGCCGTGGAGTTCTTAGAGAGTGGGTGGGGGGAGGGGCTGCTGGGATCGAAGCTCACAGGAGGGTGGCCTCCTCCTCTCTAGCCAGCCAGCCTGGGTCCCTGGGCACTCTAAGGGCGCATCTGGATTTGATGGTGCTGCACCCCGGCTGACTTACTAACTGTGGCCTTCCACTCACCTTCCCCTTGCTTCCTCTGCTCCACGCTGAGTACTAACTCAGCCCTGTGGGCTGTGGAGGAGGGGTAGTTTGAGGGGGATCTGGCAAGTGGGAAGAGATGCCAGGGTCTGGGGTACCCTAAATATGTTTCCTGACCATTCTAGAGTTGGGTGAGAAGTAGCTCACCCTTTTCCCTCTGGATTTGTCTCAAGTTTCGGCCCTGAGAAGTTGGGGATGGAGGTTCTTGGTGTGGGGGAGGAGGACTGGGTCTCCAGAATGAAGGCATCGAGGGAAAGAAGAATGGATGGGTTCGTGACTGCTTCTCAGCCCCCTGTGGGCAGCACCCCTTCAGGCGTGACTGGGGAGCCGATGGCCGTCCTTGTTTCTGACACACGGCACAGCACCCGCTCTGTGCACAAGTAACAGTTCGAGGGAGGCCGTGGTACCCTCGCTCCCCTCCCCACCACTGGGCCGCCTGAGGCTTTTCTGTGTATGACCATAGCATATAGAGACACATCAATCTATAACTGTGAAATAAACCTATCTTTCATAGCGGTCACATATAAGTCTAAAAGAACTTCTTTTCATTTTGACAGGGTCCAAAAAAGTGCCAAATGAACTGGATTTGTTTCTGTTTTTTTACTTTCTTGAAGTCTGGTTGTTCTTCCAAGTTCCTTGCCTCAGACCTGTAAGACCAAAGGCTGAAACCACAGTGCCATACCCGCCCCCCTTGCCCCCCACCCTGCATCAATCCCTCCCCCTGCCCGGGCCAGGCCCAGGGATACATACCATTGGAGGGCTTTTTGCCTCCTGCAGAAGCAGGTGAGGCCTCATCAGAGCTGGGGGACACATTCATTCAGTTTCCAAGGGTTTCCCACCCGCTGCTGCAGCCCTTGCCGGGAACAATGTGGGGGTCTGGAGTAGGGGAGTTAGAGTTAGTGAGAAGAGGGGGGGTCTGACGTTCCCCCAGGGCCCCCTGGGTTTGGGTTTAATTTACAATAAAGAGGAAACTCAGCTCATGTGCAGTCTCCATGGTGGTGTGTGTGTGTGTGTCAGAAGCCCGCCCTGACACCTCTGTCCCCTTTCTTGGCTTGACCCTGCTTGGGGGTTCAATTGGGCCCATGTAGGGTTGGGAGGTCATCCTCCTGGGCCGGGAGCTTTATGCTGTGGATTCCCTGATTATGCTTCCCCAGTAGTGGAGGAGAGAGGCACAGAGGTGGGCTGTGACCACCCTGGGCTTGGCCAGCGCTACTTGGTGAAGCGGGAGACAGGGGCTCTGCCCTGGCTCCACGCCCAGGAAGACGCCCACCAGCCTCTTCTGGCTGTGGAGGCGTGGTCGCCCTGTGGCTCCCATTTCCAACCCTGCCCTTCTCCCTCCTGCAGCAGGCCCGGCATCCAGCGCCCCCAGCCCTCTGCTGGCCTCCCTGCCCCTGCCCACCAGGCCTCTGCAGCCCCCGCTGGACTTCAAGCACTTGCTGGCCTTCCACTTCAATGGTGCCGCCCCGCTCAGTCTCTTCCCCAACTTCAGCACGGTAGGGGCTGGGCTGGTGGGCGGAGCATGCAGCCCAGTGGGGGGTGGGCAGGGAAGGGGGGCTCAGGGGGCTGCCTCTCAGAAGCTGGGTCTAACCGGAAGCTCATTCTCCCCCAACATCCCCCAGTGACTAGTTGCTCCCAAAACAGAGACCAGCTGGGTCCAGCTCTCTGGGCCAAGGAAGTAGGAGGTGCCATCGGCTCCCCCAGTTGCTGGGACGACAGGAACCATACTGCAGATTTCACTGGATTTTGGTTTAGGGACTTCTGCAAATGATTTGTGTATGCCTGTGTGCAACTGGGTTTAGTCTGTGTTTCCACAGGTCTTTGTTTGTTATTTGTGGGTGTGAGCGTGTGTGTTGGTGTCCTCTGTGTGTATGTTTGCAAACAACTCTTAGTTTCTCGGTATGTAATGTGTGTGCCTGGTTACGGGAGAGGTGTTTTGTGTCTTCATGCGGACTGTGTGTGTGTGTGCGTGTTTGGTGTGTATGGGTTGGGGTGAGGGAGCCTTTGCCTATGACTGTGTGCCATTTGCGTGTGTGAGTGTCTGCATGTCTCTGAAACTTGTAACTGTCTGTAAGCTCAGTGGTCTCTATTTTCTAAAGATTTTATTTATCTATTTTTAGAGCAGAGGAGAAGAGGGAGAGAGAAAGAGAGAGAAACATCCATGTGCAAGAGATACATTGATTAGTTGCCTCTCACATGCCCCCTACTGGGGACCTTTGGGTTCACAGGCTGGCACTGAATCCCGGAGCCACCCCAGCCAGGGCTCAGGGGCTGTCTGTGTGTGTACTTGTCTGTGTATTTCCACGTGTGTATATGTGTGAAAAACAAGCATAGTGAGCATGAATTAGACTTCAGTACAGGAACTGTAAGGCATGCCCCTACTTTTTAATTTTGAAAAATCCAAGTGTTGTCATCAATAAGCCTTGCCCCTCAGCCTCAGTCACCCTGAGAAATCTCAGCCTCCAGGGTTGCACAGAGGTCCCCAGGAGCCTGAGCCACTGGGGGAGGTCCTCTGCCCTTAGGTTTCTGCTGTCACTTGCTGACGTGCTCTGTTCAAGTGCATGGTCCCTCAGGAGCAGGTGACGTCTCTATTGTCCTGATCACTGCGGGGCCCTGCGGGTCGTTCTCTGAGGCCCTGTTCTCTTCTCTCAGGAAGGCTTGGGGAGTTTTTGACAAGCAAACCCAGATGGCTTCTGCTTTTAGCCCAACAGTCTAGGCCCTGAGGAAAGGGAACATGAAGGCTTAGTTTGAGAGAAGAAAAAAGTAGTTAAAATAAGACCAAGACACACAGGTTAATATTCCAAAGAAATGATTCTACTACTCAGGAAACCCTCTGGCTTCTCCTTGCTGTCACGGCGCCATCCGGGGCCCTCCCTCCCCTGATTGAGACTCCTCCCTCGGGCCCTGTGACAGTGGCAGAACTCACAAAATAAGCCTGATCTCCCCCTGCGCACAGGCCCAGTACAAGGCTGGGTTATGGGAGAAGAAACTCTAACAGAGGGACTCTGTCTCCTCCCTGCGTCTCCCTGGCCCCAGTGCTCTGTTCTAATGGTCGTAATTCTTGTGAATGAGAAAAAAATAAAAGCAGACCAGAGGGGCAGCAAGAGACACCAAGGTGTGATCATCAGGACATGCTTCTATCTCTCAAGGTCATGGGTGGCTAAGTTGGCTGGAGCATCGTCCAGTAACCAAAAGTTTGCAGGTTCAATTCCCCATCAGGGCACCTACCTAAGTTGTAGGTTTGATCCCCAGTCCAGGCACGTAAGATGCCCAGCCCAGGTGTGTATGGGAGGCAACCAATCAATGCTTCTCTCTCGTGGGTGTGTCTCTCTCTCCCTTACTCTCTCTACAAGCATGTCCTCAGGTGAGGATAGATCAATCAATCAATCAATCAATCCTGGAGGTCACCCTGCCTGTCATCCTGCCCATCCCCCTGCCTCCAAGCGGAAGTCCATGCTGACAGAGAAAGTCTGCCAGGCAACAGGCTGTTTCTCTTCCCGTGTCCAGCGTCACAAGGATGGGAAAAGTTATTCCTAGGGGCTGACCACTGCCCTCCTTGATAGTCTCCGGTTGTTTTGCATTTCGTACTGCTCCCCCCCAATTCTGAGGCTGACCCCAGAGTTACTGTGCCCTCCCACCTGCTTCGCAGATGGACCCAGTCCAGAAAGCGGTCATCAGCCACACCTTCGGGGTCCCCACCCCTCTGAAGAAGAAGCTCTTCATTTCCTGCAATATCTGTCACCTGAGGTTCAACTCCGCGGTGAGAGGGAGTAGTGGGAACAGGCTGAGGGGGGGGGGGGACTGGGCAGGGAGAGGGCTGGAGATGGGGCTTCTGGGGCCAGCTGCGGGCTCTGTTCTCCATCCCCGGCTGCAGAAGAGGCACTCACAGCCCTTTATTCATCCATCCTCTTCTCTGCTCAGAGTCCTCTGCCCCTTCCTTCCCTAGTCCCCCTGGGATCCCACTGCCCTTCCCTGTACTTCTCTCCCGTGTTCTGAGTCCTACCACGAGAGAAGACTGCCCCTCCCCACTCTGGGTCTCAGGGGCTGCCCTGGCAGCTTCTAGTTTGGAGCCGAGTTCTTAAAGTACCTGAGAGTTTGTGGAATATGTTCATGCCTCTCACCTTCATTAGTTCTCACGGTACATCCGTGAGGTGGATAGAGGTTCAGTGATCATCCCCACTTTTCGGAGGAGGAAACTGAGTCTCAGAGAGGTTAAGCAACCTGCCTGAGGCGATACAGCTGGTAAGTAGAAAAACTGGGATCTGAACCCAGGCCTGGCTGGCCCCCAGGCCCTGCATATTTTCTGCCGCGGCCTGCGCCTAAACGGTGAAGGAGCCCTGCTCTGGCCTCCCAGGGAAGGCTCGCCTTCTGTCCAGGGAACTCTGGGGCTCGGGGAGATGCTCTCAGCTGACCTGTTCTGGTAAAAGTGTCCGGAGGGGGCTGTATTTACTGCATTGGGGAGCAACAAGCAAGGACCACTGGATGAAGGAGGGAGGGCACTGCCAGGCCAGATTTGGGGGTTCCCTTCAGGCTTTCAGGTTGCAAGGTGTAAACGAGCTGGAGAGACTTCACTCCAGGAGAGAAAAAACGGAACCACATACCCCAGAACGGGGGGAGCTCTGTTTTCCCCATTTGTGCATTTATTATCTTGGCCACTAACATGCATCGAGCACCCGCAGTATGGATGAGGCACCTACACAGGCTCTCATTTAATTCTCAGGGTCCCGTGAGGTCAGTGTGAGCACAGAGGTTGTGGGTGAGGAAACTGAGGCTCACACAGGCGAGGCGACTTGCCCGAAGATGCACAGCCACTCAATGGTGGGGCCGGAATTTAAAGCCAGAGGCCGCTCGCCTGGGAGCCCTGGGATGAGAGTGTGTTCCGTAAACTTCAGGGCCATGTGTACTCTGTGATGGCAATGGCAATGACAAGGATTCGCCCCTGTGTGACCTGCCCCCTGCCTGGGGCCAGCTCATGGATGGGACATGTAGACTCAAGAGAATGAATGGTGACCCTATGCCCTCCCTACCCCAGAACCAGGCCGAAGCACATTATAAAGGCCACAAACATGCCAGAAAACTCAAGGCCATTGAAGCCGCCAAGAGCAAGCAGAGGCCCCAAACCCGGGCCCAGGATGGGACGCTGGAGTCCCCAACCCTACCTGTAGCCACTGGAGCCCCCACAGAGCCACAGAGCAAAGGTCAGTCCTGAATTCTCCTCCCATCTCCCCACTCTCGGTCTAGTTTCTGATGAGGAGTTGAGAGATTTTTTAAAAACTGTATTTCTTTATCTTTAGAGGGGGGGAAGGGAGGGAGAAAAAGAGGTAGAGAAACATGATTAGCCATTTCTCTCATGTCCCCAAATGGGGACCAGACCCACAGCTCAGGCATATACCCTGATTGGGAATCGAACTGGCGACCCTTTGATTCGCAGGCTGGCACTCAATCCAGTGAGCTACAGCAGCCAGGGTGAGAGATGTCTTCTTATTTTTGCTTATATTGCCATATTCCTACGTAGAGGAAAGGGACACACATCACAAGTGGGGGACCCAGTGACTCCTCCTATCTGAGTATATGAAGGTCGAGAAGTACCTCTCAAGCACCCAGAAGCCTCCCTTGGCCCCCTTCCAGTCACCCCGTTTTCTTGGGTGTCTGTAATGAAGGACCACTAACCGAGTGACTGAAAACCATTGAAATTTATTTTCTCACCATTCTGGAGGTCAGATGTTTGAAAGCAGCACATCAACAGGGTCAATTCCTTCCTGGGAACTGAGAGGGAGAATCTCTCTCTCTCAGGTCCAGGAAGAAGCGAGAAGTTTTTTCTTCCCCAGAAACTTCTTCCGAGGAGGAAGTTTCATGCTCCTCTTCTGGCTTCTGGTGGTTGCCGGCAGTTCTCGGCACGCCTTGGCTTGTGCCCCCCCATCTCTGCCTCCGTCCTCATGGCTCGCTCTCCCGTGTGTCTGTCTCCTCACGTGGTGTCCCTGTAAGGACCCCAGTCACTGGATCAGGGCCCACCCTAATCCAGTATGACTTCATCTTAACTAATTTCACTCTGCAAAGACGCTCTTTCCAAAATAAGGTTGCATGCTGAGGTTCCAGACGGACATGAATTGTGGGGTGACACCCTGCAACCACCTATACCCTTACGCCCAGAGTACCTACGATCCTGGCTTTTCTCGGTGTACACAGTTTCGCTAAACCGTGTAGAACGTAGGCTTCTGCGTCTGGGCTTAGTTCACCTTCCCTGAATGTCCGTGACAGGCATTGTGAGGTTCTCCCGTGCGGTTGCGGTGGCAGCACTAGTCTGTCCTTTTCCGTTGCCGTGTAGTATTCCACTGCATGGCCATGCAGTGGGTTTTTAAAAACCTTTTCTCCTATTGATGGACACTTGAAGTTTCCAGTTGTTGCTATTATGAATACTGCTCGCTGAACATTCTGGCACACTTTTTGATTTCCTTCTATTTAACTGCTAATAACTAGACTCTCAAGGCAGTGACGGCTTTCTGAGATTACTCTGTCTGACTTAATCATTTCAAATGGGGAAACCGAGACCCAAAGAGGCCCAAGTCTGCCCAGTGAGTTGGGATGGTACGGCGGGGTCTGGAGTTCAGTGCTGGTGGCGTCTGCACCAGTGACCTGTGCACTCGGCCACACCACCCCTAATGTATTGGTGTTTAAAATCATGGTCTCGCCCTGGCTGGTGTAGCTCAGTGGATTGAGCGCGGGCCTGCGAACCAGACAGTCGTGGTTCGATTCCCAGTCAGGGCACATGCCTGGGTTGCAGGCTGGTTCCCTGCAGGCCAGTTCCCAGCAGGGGATGCATGAAAGGCAACCGTACATTGATGTTTCTCTCCCTCTCTCTGTCCCTTCCCCTCTAAAGATAAATAAATAAAATTAAATTAAAAAAAAAAATCATGGTCTCCAGAACCAGCTCAGGCCTCACCTCGGTGCCCAATGCCTTCCATTTCCCCAGCACTTCCTGCAGACCCCCCGCCTGGCCCCCCACTCCAGCCACCACTGACCCTGGACCCAATACCCCGGGAGCTGGCCCACTCAGAACTCTTGGATGCGGCCTCCTCTTCCTCTTCTTCCTCCTCCTGTCCGCCCTGCTCCCCAGAGCCCGGGAGAGAGGCACCAGGGCCTGAGCCGGCGGCAGCAGCTGCCGGAAGTGGTGTGAGTGGGGAAAGCGGGGGTGAGAAGGGGCGCCTCTACTGCCCCACGTGTAAGGTGACCGTGAACTCCGCCTCCCAGCTTCAGGCTCACAACACAGGTCAGTGAGTCCCGCCAACTGCAGATGGGGAAGGGGCGGGGCGGGGAGGCCGCCTCTTCCCAGAGGTGGGCTGACTGGGGTTTCTGGGCACTTTGCCGAAGGGCTTAGTGACAGGGGCATTGTGCTCAGTTGTTACCGGGCAGGGCATCTCAGGTCGTCCCACTAATGCTTGCAGAGGGGTAGCTGGGAGGAGAAGCAGGAACTGGAGGGTCACTCCAGACGACAGGAGACACCTGGTCCATCTCTCTGAAGGCCAGACCCAGAGGGAGGGGCTGAGATGAGAGAAGGCAAGCTGACCGGTTACACTACAAGAGCTTCCCTGGGGCAGGTTGGCTGGAAGTGAGAGAAACCTGGAGGACCTGGTGGAGACGGGAAAGAGAAATCTCCCATGGCGGCCGTGGGGATGTGTGCCGCGCAGCCTCGCAGCTAATGGGACGACCGAGCTGGTCTAGTTTGGATGGGTCTCTGCCTCATCGCAGCCTCTCTTCTGTGCTGATAGACCGTCCTCTTTCCTTCCACCAGGAGCCAAGCACCGGTGGATGGTGGAAGGTCAGCGAGGGGCTCCCCGGAGGGGCCGGAGCCGCCCGGTGCCCCGGGGAGGAGCTGGACACAAGGCCAAGAGAGTGGCTGGGGCTCGCGGGGGCAGGCAGGGCCCCAGCCCCCCTTTTCATTGTGCCGTCTGTCAGCTCCAGGTCAATTCAGAGACGCAACTCAAGCAGGTGGGAGAAGGGAGGCCGGGACTAGGGTTGGCGTGAGGGAGTGGGACCAGTGCCAGGGGAGGGGGACGGAGGTCGGCTGAGGGGAGAAGGTGGTGGTGGAGCAAGGCCAGGTGGAGGACAAGGAGCCGGGCTAGCAGGGCAGTGGGCTCCCGGAGGGCGAAGGCCAATTCTTATCTTCCCTTCCCAGGGCCACCCCAGCGGATGCTCAGTAAATGTAGGTTTGTTGTGTGAATCGTGGGTAGAGAAGGATGAGCTAGTCACGGACGGTGGGGTAGTTGGGGGTCCTTGGGCTTCCTCATCTTGTTCCCAGTCTGTCTGTCTGTCCATTAGCACCTGAGCAGCAGGAGGCACAAAGACCGCCTGGCCGGGAAGCCCCCCAAGCCCTCCAGCCAGCACAGCAAGCTGCAGAAGCACGCGGCGCTGGCTGTGAGTATCCTCAAGGTATCTGTCTCCAAGCAACGGAGCTGGGAACCCAGTCAAGTGGGGGCGGGGAGTGGGAAGTGGGGGCCAGCTGGGGGGCTAAGGCAGGAATAAAGCCACCCCCCACCCCTTCCAGGCTGCCCGGGCAGAGAAAGAGCTGGGGTTGGGTTTTTAGCTATCTCAGGATCTGCCCGGAGGAATTTCCGGGGAGGTGGGCCTGGGTAGGAATCTCAGGGGCAAGAGCAAGGGGTGGGGCGTGCCATCTCCTAGAAACCATCTCTGCCTCCACCCAGCACAGCCTCCTTCCGTGGCCCATCATGATTCTCCTCCTTCTGGGCAGGAAGACAGGTGGTGGAGAAAGCCCTTTGGAATGAATGTTTGGGGGTGGGAAGGGAGAGGGTTTAGTTTTGGAACCCTAACAGGCATGTTTATCCTGCCTCAAAAGGCCCTAGGACAGAGCTCAGCGTGGGGGGCGTTTTCCGGGGCCAGGCTGTGCCTAGTCTTCTCTCTCCTTTGCAGTCTAAGCTGGCCTTGCAGAAGCAACTCACCAAGACGCTGGCAGCCCGCTTCCTGCCCAGCCCGATCCCTGCCACGGCCGCGGCCATCTGTGCCCTGCCAGGCCCCTTGGCCCTCCGGCCTGCCCCCACTGCGGCCACCACCCTCTTCCCGGCTCCCATCCTGGGCCCAGCTCTGTTTCGCACCCCAGCAGGGGCTGTCCGTCCTGCCACGGGACCCATCCTCTTCGCCCCCTATTAGCCCTCCTAGGGAGGCCAGGGCCGACTTCCCAGCAGTCACTCTCCCCAAGATGCCTCGGTTCCTCCATCCTCCGGGGAACTTTTTACAGCCTAGGGGCTCCTGACCAATCGAGGTAGAGCTGGGCTCCTTCCAAGGGCAGCTGCCCCTCATTCCATCTGGACTGGGGATTCAACTCATAACCCCTGGCCCCAGGGCCACCCTCACCCTCATGTCTCTAGCCTCCTCTGGCTAGACCTGGGCTCCCATGCATTTCCCAGACTGACTTACAGGGAGCAAGCAGAGAAATCCCAAAGGTCTATGCAAAATCCAGCCCCAGCCTCACGGTGCCCTCACTTCCCCCACTCCAGACCCATACGCCCCTGGCCAAAGGCCCCAGAAACCTTAGCTTCTGGCCTGGGGACAAGTATGTGCCTGACCTCCACTGCCATGTGCTGGCGAGGCCCTCCCCACTCACTGGGTTCTCTGGAGAGGGGCTGGAGATGAGGGGTGGGCTGGTAGTCGGCTCAAAGGGAAAAGGACAGGATGACCCTGGGGGCGTGGTCAAGACTGGAGGGCAAGGGAGCGGTGCTGAGGGGGAGTATGGCCCTGCGGGGGATGGTGCTGAAAGCTTCCGGGGGGTCTTCATCTGCTTGAAAGGGATGGGGCTAGGCCAGGGTGGTGAAGATGATGTTCTGCCTGGGCCCAGTTCTAACAGAGAAAGGGATCAACCCCCTCTTAGCCTTTTACTGATTTTCCCGAACCCCAGCTCTGGGGTGGGAAGCCCTGGGTCTTCCCCAGACTAGAGACCCAGTGAACACCGAGTCCCCCAGGGGTCCCAGACAAAGAGCCTTCCTCTCTAGCTCTTTACCCAACTGGTCCCCAGCACTAAATTCGGCCTTCCCTCCTCCCAGCCAGCACCCCAAGCCTCCCTCACCGTGAAGCCGAGTGTTGGGATCCAGCCTGACGGTCCCACAGACCCAGTGGGCTGTCATCAAAGTAAATGTCACAACCCCCGTCCTGCCCCAGCGCCTCTCGCCTTGCCCCCAAATACGGGACTTTGCCAGTATCCAACTGTATATTTTTAAAAAGATATTTCCAACTGGAGATAAGGGGGGAGTGGGAGGGAAACTTTTTGATAACAGTTGTGGTTTTATTGTGTCCAATTGCATTAATAAATGAACATTAAACCCAAGCCTATATATGCCCCAACTTCACTCACCCAGCCCCGGGCGCTTGCCCCCGCTCACCCCTCCTGCTTTGGGAAGAAGGGACATGCACTGGAGGTGGCCTGGCTGTGTCCATTAGAAGCACAAAGTGGCCACAGGAAAGTTGTGGGTCATAAGCTCACTTTGGAGCACGTGGAGAGAGCAACTGCCCTTCTGAGCCCCAACAGACCTGTCAGCTCCTGGGAAGCTGCGACTCGTGTGCCTTGTTCTGTTGAGGCATCTGAGGTAAGAAGGGCTAGAGGAGCACCTTGTCCAGCCTTCACCATGGCAGCATATTCGTTTATAACAGGAGATTTATAAATAAAGTCCAGCTGAAAGCTGAAAACAACCACAGGAGGTGGGTGAAGACCAGTGGCTATGGGTGCAAGGTTCCCCATTGGGCACTAAGCAGCCATTCTGGCACCTGGAGTGCGCCCCTGCCCCCTGGTGGTTGTCAGGGGCAGTGTCCCAGCCTCCAGGGCGGGTGGGCATAGCACCTTGAAGAGAGAGAAGCAAAGGGTAGGTACATACACACAGTCAGATGGCCCGAAGCCATGTGTGTTATAAAATCACAGGACGGGAGTGGATCTCGGTCACCTAAGAAACTCATGTCACCGTACAGATGAGAAAACTGAAGCCCAGAGAGGGGAAAAGCCTTGCTGGGTCACAAAGCCCACTGGTGACTCAGCCCATGAGGCCCATCTGCTCTGTAAGCAGGAAGAGGAAGCGAAACGATGGCGGGAAGATGTCAAGTAGAAAAACCACACTTCCCGGGAGGTTGGCTCCTTCCAGCCAAGGTACAGACAGGAGGAAGGCCAAAGGTCAGGGTGCTGGATGAGGAGGCACCGCCAACACTAGTATGCTCACACACACACACACACACACACACACACGAGACCTGGGTGCCCTCTCCCTGGAGTCCAGGCGAGTGCTGTGTGTGTGCTGTGTGCATGTATGTGTGTGTGTGTGTGTGTGGCAGAAGCCTAGAGGTGTGGGACCTGTGATCAGAACCAGACCCCAGACTGGGCACTTTTGCATGGTAGCTCTGCTTCCCATTCCAGGACAGGTGGAAGGGGCACCGACCCACAACTGCCCTAGGTCAGAGAGGGGCAGATGTGATGAAAGCTGGGGTGGGGGCACTAACCTAGACTATTTGCATTTCCCGGAGTGGGGAGGGAGCCAGAGTGGCCTAGCCTGGGACAGCCCGGCTGCCCGCGCTAGCAGGACCTTCCCCTCCCCCCCCACCCCGACCCATCTTCCAAAGCCCCGGAAGCTGGACTGGGGTTGGGAAGGTGAAGAAGGGATGGCAGCTCTTCAGCCATCCAAGGAGCCGCTGCCCTTGTTCTTGCGGCTGAGGGGGAAGGCGGACTTGCTCTGGGGCTGGGTCATCTTGCTGGCCAGGTAGATGAAGGGCTCCAGCAGGGAGCGGCGGTCGGCCACAGAGACCTCCCACAGCTTCACCTTCTCCGACTTGGCCCAGTGCTGAGCCACATCTGCGTCCACACGCCGCTGCTCCTGCAGGTCACACTTGTTGCCAAGGACCACGATGGTGACCTGGAGAAGAGGGATGGAGTTCGGGCTTGGGGACATACCATGGACCTTAGGAATGGGTGTGACTCCACCACCTAGGAGTCCTAAGATAAGGAAGGTCTTAATGGCTTGTGTCTCATCTCTTCCTCTATTAGAAATCAGAGTGTGTGTGTGTTGCAGGAAATCGTTGCTTTTCCCTTTCCTTCCTCTGTTCCGATTCTGGCTTCCTCCTGGCCCTCTCACCAGGAGTTCTACTACAAGCCCCGAGTCACCTACACCTGCTCACTACTAGCTGTCAGTTCACTTTTGGCTAAGTCACTGGTGAGGAAGCACACCCACGGTGCCTGCAGCTTGAAGAGGGACTCGAGAAGAGAAGGGTTTTCACAACTCAGAGTACAGGACCACTGTAAACACAGACTAGTGTTTACCACTAGTGGGCCTCATGTGGTAGGTCAGGGACCTCTAACACTAAGGAGAAGCCTCTCCGGTTGAGCCGTCTAAGCACGGGGACACCCCCATGGCTGAAGGAACCCTCTAGTGGCCTCCATCCCTCCTCCAGCTCCTAACCCAACTTCTGGAACACGAAGGAAAAACAGGGCCACGCCACGCCTCCCAAAGCGAGCCCAGGGCTCCCTCCACCGGTACTCCCTCCCATCCGCACCTCCTTCTTGTCCTTGGATTTGTCGATTTCCTTCTTGAGCAGCTCCACGCGTTGGAAGGACTCCCGGCTGTCAGTGCTGTAGACCAGGACGTAGCCGTCGGTGCAGGAGAAGCAGTGGCGGGGCAGCTCCGCCCCGTCTCGGAGCCCCCGGGTGTCATAGAAACGCACCTGCTCCCGCACCCCCCGGTCGGTCTCGATGGAGCCCACGTAGATGTCCTCCTGCGTCTCAATCATCTCAGAACCTGGGATAAAGCGAGAGCGCTCGTGTGTAGGGAGGAAGCAGACAGGAAGCATGAGTGACTGAGTGTGCGCTGACAGGCTGCTCAGACAGGGAGGGAAAGAAACGTGGGGGCTGAGGAGAGGGGGGCCAGACAGAGTCTGGCAGGCCTGGAATGATTCGGGGAAACCGACATGAGTCTCATGTTCACACCGCGCTGGGCAAAAGTGAAACCTTCCTCCTCATCCTGGACAGTGGGATTCCTTCCTCCAGACCTAGGTGTTGTGGGGCTGGAGGGCATGGTGCAGACACTTCACTCCAGAAGCAGATTTTTAGCTTCTCTCTCTGTGTGGTCAGATCCTGCACCTTATTCTTTAAGTTCTTCCATCATTCTCCCACGCCCCCCACCCCCCCACACTCACCCACCACATGGTTCCCGTACAGAAGCTGCTCCAGGATTGACGTTTTGCCCACAGATGCCTGGCCACACACCACCACCTTGCAACTCTTCCCCATGCTTAGCCTTCAGCCTTGAAGAAGAGAAGCACACCGGGTGAGGTGGGATGGACCCGGAGGGCAGACCTGCCATAGCTGAGAGCCCGGGTTCCGAACTGCATGTCCAGTCTCAGCGGTTCAGCACTGTCTCCTACACTAGTCAGGGTGCATGTCACAAGTTATGGTGCCTACGTCCACTACTGCCCAGAGAGCTGTGTTTTACTCATCTTTATTACGCCCCCTGCCCAGCCAGTAACTGCTGGTGGGAGGCACATGATGTCACAGAAGTGGGAAGAAAGACGCTGGTTTAAGTGAAACGCTGGCCAGACTCCTCTCTGTGCACAGGACTCAAGACCAGCTCCTGAGGGGAGGCTGTGCCCAGCTTCCTCTTTTTAACCATGACCCCACGGAGAAATAAGCAGAAATACTATTTTACGTGGATACGTTTAAAGCTATTCTTCCTAGTGAACAAATAACGAGACTACTGTATTTTGCTTTCCTGTGTAACTTATCTATGCAATTAATCCCCTCTGATTCCTAGTCAAGTTCATGGCTAAGATGAAGACCATCTTAGCCATGGACTTGAAAGAATGGAGCGAAGGAATCTAAGTGGTGATAAAGGGGCTCCGGAAAGGAGACAATTTCTGCCGCCTCTGGATTGACAGACCCAGATGAGAAGGCTGAGACACAGAAAGCCCTTCTCTGAAGATGTCCCAGAAATCCCGAAGGCATTCTCAAACGCAGGCTTCCCAGAAGCAGCCCCAGACTGACTCCTCCCGAGAGCAGACTCAGAGGTCACTCCCCACAAAGGTTCCAAACAGAAACCTCTCTGGGGGAAACTTCTCATTACCGACCCTCCTACCCCCGCCCAAAGGGCCCGGTATAGTGAGTCCCACGATTAATAGATACCCCAAGACAGACAGAAACGGGGCTTTGGCTCTGCCACGTAAAGCGGCCCCTACGCGGTGGCCGATCCCGGCCTTCCAGCTCCGTACCTCCCAGGGCCCTGGCAGCACCCGGGCCGGGACCCAGAGACGCCCGGGGACCAAGGGAGGGGCCGCACAGCCACGGGACTCCGTTCTTCCGGGTCGACTGGGCTTGATGCCGCCACGCCCCTCCGCCACCGGCAAGACGAATTCCTGCGGCAAAGAGCGGGCGCCGTCCGCCCAGCGCCCCCAGAGGCCGGCGGGGAGAATGACGGCCGAGACCCTGACTGGAGGACATGGTACTAGGCTCTTTGGACGTGGGGTGCCTTTGTTGTGTCTTATGCCCAGATGTTCTTTTTGTAAAGGCTAAGACAGTACAATAATACTTAATTTATCCGGTCGTTTAGTCATCAAGTGTATTGTGAGCGCCTATTCTGTGCCAGCTATAGGACCACGTAGCTGGAAAAGCGGTCGAATTAGACACTGTAGCTGCCTGTCAGAACGTCACCATCTAGAGGAGCTAGACATCTAATCCAAAAATTACAGAACAGCATGGTAAGAACTATTACAGAGGTGCTATGGGAGCACAGAAGAGGGACATTTAACTCTGGGGGGGTGGAGGTGGGCATCACGGAGAACTTCCTGGATTAGGTCATGTCCGTGCTAAGTTGGAAGGGCTTGGGAGGAAGGGTAGAGAAAGCATGGCAAAGATTCATGGCATTTTTCTGGAACTACAAGTGCTTGGCTTCAATACTGATGGTAGAAAGGAACCAAATAGTCCAAGGCCTCATGCAGGAGGCCAAGGGTTTCTAACTGTATTCTGACAGCAGTGGAAAGTCATGGGTAAATTTCAGTGAAATAACAAGATAAATTTTTGCTTTCAGAGGGTCATCCTGGCAGAAGACTGAAGATTGGAGAGTGATAAGACTGAGGTACCAGTCAGGAGACTTGGTAGTATTCCAAGTTTTTAAAAAAGTGACGAGAGCCTGAATTGGGATGGAAAGGAGATAGATTTGGGAGACTTTTGGTAGGAGAATCAACAAGACTTGGTGATAAATTGGGAGTCAGGAGTGAGAAAGAGGGAGGAATGCATGATGTCTTCCATCTGTCTCATTTGATGACCAGGAGGAAAATAGTGAATCCATTCAACAAGATAAAGAATTCAGCAGAAGAGAATCAAGTACAGCATTTGTTTTGTCTGTTGTTGAGGGGTGGGGTGAGAATAACGAGTTCAATTTAAATATGTTAAGCTTTAGGGACTTGTGAAACATCTAAACGATTCCACTGGAGAGCTGGATATACAGCTCCAAGCTCAAAAGAGTGGCCTAGACTGGGGACACCAACTGAGTTGACAGTCACCAACAAAGTTAAAGCTGTGGGTGATGAGGTGGCTCCGATGCAGAGAACACAAAGCAGGAAGATGGGGAAAGAATGCCCCCCTGCAGTGGCCAGGTTTTGAGCTACTGGCAGTCTGGCAGGCGGTGAGTCTGTGCCTTCCCGACTCTGAACAGGGTCAGTAGGCACCTTGGAGAGGGTTGCATACATGACCTCTTTCTTCCAACCCACCTGGCCACTCCCATTCTCTCCTAAACTAAGGGTGAATTTGGTTTCAGGTTCCTTGGCACTCTGGGGGGCAGGGACCACGCAAGCAGTTTATGGGCAATGGCACATAGTTTTACTGAAGGAAGAGAATAAGATCCCTTTGAAATTCCCTTGCCCCCTTATATAGTTCCCTGTGGCTTTAAACTCAAACTCCCTCAATTTAACCTCGGTAAGCCCCAACTGAATTCAAGTCTACACATATTATTGGTTGGGGTGAGGTACTACAAAGATGATTAGGTTGTGTCCCTGTCCTAAGTTCCCAATTCAGACTGCATTCAGCAAGACAAGCCTGCTGAGCAGGGAGTTTTATGAGGAGTGGGGACACTGGGGCACTGGGGTAGGGACATCACCCCATGAGCTGCTGCCTTATAAACGCTAGGGCAGGGTCTGGGGCGCTGTGCCACTCTTCCTAGGCCTAATGCTGAGACGGCACTCCCAGGCGGCTGACATGAAAGCAGCATCATAAAAGGGTCAGCGTCATTAGGGTGATGAACCAGTTGGTGCTTGGAGATCCAGAGGGGGATGAAAGGCGCGGGGTGAAGCCGTCCTGCGTTCCCCTGGCTTGGCTGGGCAGGGCTACCAGGGGCCGATGAAAGCTAGGGGCACCGGGCTCAAAGTGTCTCTTCTCACCTTTCCCGGGAGGAGGCTGTGGATACACTCCAAGGTCGGGAAGGTAGTAACTTCTTTTCCTTCAAAGTCCTGGGTGACCGGGTCCTCACCCAACTCGGACTCCCCTGAACCTTACAGAAGACGCGCCAGGATTGGAAGTTGCTATGGCAACGAAGCTCTCGGAATACTGAGGAAAGCCAAGGCAGAGAGAGGAGATACCCTCCTGGACCCCCTTTCGATCCATAGTTAAAGTGGCGCCCCCCACGTCCAGGAACCGTCCCTGGGGTCCCGCCGCGGCATGGAGACCACCGTGGACCTCCGGGGACGGGAGGTCGCTCTGGCCCCAAGCGGAGCTTCTCGCTGGTAGACGAGCCCGAGGGAACCACTCTGGGCGCAGCGCGGCCGAGCTGCTCGATGGTCCGACCGGAAGTGCTCTGCACCGCTGGCCTCCCACCCGGCTCTCTGGTCTCGGCGGTAAGATGGCGGCTGCCGCGGAGTGCGATGTGGTAATGGCGGCGACTGAGCCGGAGCTGCTTGACGACGAAGGGGCGAAGAGGTAACCAGGTAGCAGGGTAGTGGAAGGGGCGAGCTTCGGCTCCGTGGCTCCGGGTAACCCGTCCCAGCCAGGATGCAGCTCCCAGCTGGCTGCGATGCCCCGCCCTCCGCGGACCCCCCTCACCCCAACGCACGCTCGCGAACCAGTCCGGATGGACCCCCTGAAGGGGCGCTCTCGGAGGTCGGACCTCCCCTCCTGCTTCCGCCTGGCTGGGGAGTTGAGGCGTCGCGCCCTTCTCCAGCAGAGAAATGTCGTCCCTGCGGTGGAGACTGGGTCTTTGAGGGAATTTGAGGTCTGTGTCGGCGTGGGGGAGGCGGCCCGGCGACCGGGAGACCTTCCTGACGTCATCCCCGACCCCCGCCTTCACTTCTGTGCATTGTTGTCGATCAGCACTTTGCATCTCCACCGCCCGTGCTCGCCTCACTCTTTTCTGCACTGATTACACCCCAGCGAGCACTAGTCTGGGTCCGAGGTGATTCTGTGTCTCTATTATTGACCTGGTCGGCCCCTACCCGCCTCCCGCCCCCCATTACCCCAGAAGTCCAAAATGAGAGAAGGAAGGAAGAATGAGGGGCTTGTTTTGCTTCTACAGGACAAATTCTTTTCCCTCCATCCGCCCCTGCCCCCACCCCAGGTAATATCTTCGTTCTTCCCAGGACTACGATTCCTCCTTAAGTTAAGTGGGAAGGAAGGGGGCAGCTGCTTGGGCGCTGTTGACACTGCCGGGCAGCTGCAGTGGCTCAAGATTGCCAGGTCGGACTAGCCAAGGGAGCTGCTGAGTGAGTGTTTTTCGAGAACACTCTGGATTCTGGCGACATCGAGGGCAGGTTGTTGGAAGTGGGGTTGGAACGCAGTCCTGGGTAGACGCGCTTGTCCTAATCCCTGAAGCAAAGCTAACCAGAAGGTTCTGGAAGTTTATCCCTTTCTTATCCGCTGCAGATTCATTGATTGTAGCCCTCTCAGGCTCCTTCCCACAGGTTTCGTAGCTTTATACCAAGCCCATTGGGTCTTCAGCCTGGGCGGTTTGAGGTGGTGATGTAAAATTAGTGGGTGAGGTCTGAACTTGGGATTCTGAGGTTTTTGCCATCGAAATTGGAAACGGAAGATGTGTTCGGTGAGGAAGGAGTCAATGTCAAGCAGAAGGGTGGTCGCTGTAGCCAGTTTTCCCAGTTCGGGACCTGGTGGAAGTGAGAGACTGGCAAGGGCAGCAGGTCCTTGGGATGTCGGAGGAGTCCGTGTTCCCGCGTGCAGGCTCATCTCGTGTCGGAGGCCAAGTGGTACCAGATTGTTCCCAGGGATTGGACCTCGGTGTACCAGCCTCGGCCCTGGAGTTCTTGCTAAGAAAGAATCCAGAGCCAGGACTCCAATACAAAAGTAAAGGTGTGTTTAGAAAGTCATAGAGGTGGAAGTGAGCTGTGGAAGAAGTCAGCCATCTGAGCGGTGTGAGCTCAGGAACAAGTTACAGGGGCAAAAGGACGGTAGGAGGGTAGGAGAGAGAGAGGCAGGGAAAGGTAGGGCCTGCTCCAGAGAGTGCTGCTCCAGGTCCTCCCTCTTGAGGTCAAGGACAGATCCCAGTATAGTATTCGTCAGTTTTCCAGGTTATTCTTGCAGAGTCATCATCTCTACTGACTAGGAAGGGGTCATTAGTCAGTGCAGCTGGTCCTGATGTGAGACGTGGCTTCATTTGTCTGGTTTTGCCCCTTTTCTGGGCCTGGGCCCAAAGCACAGCTGAGGCCTAGATACAGTTGATGTGGGTCAGAACTTCATTGTCCTGGGGGTGGAATGCTTAAGGGCCATTCACCAGCACCCAGGGGGAGGAAGGGTTACCCTGGGGTGAGGCTCTTGTTTTCCCAGTTTTGCCTGTAGGCACCCAGGGCTTTTTGCCCTGATGACCTTCTGTACTTGGCCCATCACCTTTGCTTGGTTCCTGTCTGTCCAACTGCCCTCCACACTTGGTTTTGAGTTTTCACATCAGCCTTAGTTCTTTCCAGGTATTTAGGGCTAAGCATCATCCGCATCACTAAGGAAGTGTAAAATGGAACAGAAGGCTACCACCAACACAGACCTTAAATTAATTGTCAGGTTAACTTCATGTGAAGAGCTCTGTGGTTCTTTGCATTGTAAATAGGGCCTTGGGCTGTAGGGAACTTCAACTCATTCTACTCAGTGTAAATGTCTGATGGAGGGACTAGCCCTACTTTGGGTTCCTCTTCAGAGCCCCCTATTTAAAGCAAATCCTTTTTCTTAAAAAAAATTTACAGCCTTAGAGGATATTTTATCATAAAGTTACAGTAAATGAACCAGAAATATTAGGAAACAGAACTGGCGATGCTGTCATGTTGCTGCATTGCCCCAGACATGGCGGTCGGTAGCAGCAGGACCACAGAACAAGGGAGGGTGTTGGCTGCTGTGAGCTGCCCTGTTTCATGGAGTTTAAGATGCCATTGGCTGTGAACACACAATACAGACAGATGATGGATTACAGAATTGACACCTGAATATAATTTTATTGACCAGTGTCACCCCAGTACGTTCAATAAAAATTAAAAGTAAATAAAATAAGAAATGTAAAAAAGATGTCATTGACTGTAAAATGTAGTCATTTCATCTACCACTAAGAAGAAATAACTATAAATTCAACTATGAAAAAGGCATTCTTACTAGACTTAGAGTTATAAATATTTATGTATTTTGAACATAATAAAACAGACGTTTATTATACTTCACTTAGGTGAACAAATCACAAAGAAAATATAGAAATAATAAAAGTCACAGTTTGACTTTCTGCCGTCCTTAAGAAGAATCTGTTAGTAAGAAAAAGCCTTGTTTATGTATGGTTTTCCAATGCTGAAAATGGAGTGGGAATTCAGGAGTTTTGGAGTAAGGTGCTTTATATTTTTTCATGAATCTCGGAATCCTCCTGTGTGGCCACAGCAGAGGGCAGGGATGGGAGCATCCCTCATAACTGCCCTTTCCTACCTGGCTTGAAGTGCCAGTTGGCCAAGTTCACATCTCCGGAGACAGTTTTATTACCAGTTCACTTGGGGACTCAAGAGTTGGTGGGTCTCTCAGGTTGATTTTTATGAAGCCCAGCGAGGACTTCCTTGCATCCTGGCTTAGGGGCCTCCCACTGCTGCTGCTGAATTGTTTCCGTCCCGCAGCTGGGGCAGAGTGAGACGAGCTTGCAGGACACTGGACCTCATGATTACAGCATTTTCAATGGCTACAGGTTTTATTTCCTTACCTTGAGTGTCTCTAGAGAGAAAAGAAATGGACTTTATTTTTTTGCCTGTCACTGTAACACAGCTTTTTTTCCCCACAGCAGCTGAGAGGCTAAAATAAAAGATTTATTAGTTGGCACTCTAAAACATATCAGTGCTCTGGACATGATTATTTATTTTTCCTTTGCCCACCAGAACAGATAAAACAATTTGTGAGCCAGGGGAGTAAATTGCATAGGGCTTACATTTTAGCTCAAAGCCTTACATTTCCCTGGGAAGGTGCTGATTGTTTTACGTAATTTCTGAATGCCGGCTTTGATCACATTTCCTGGGCTGGGAAGCAGCGCGGTCTCCACAGGTCTTTGTTATGGTAAAATGGAAGGATTTCAAGTTTGCTAATTGAGAAGCCGCTTCTGTGGCTCCTCACGTACCTGGTGTGAGGCTTAAATAGCCAGTGGGAGCCACAGACTGAGGAGCGAGGACACCCTTCCTTGAGCTGATAGCTCCTCTGTTTCTGTTTCCTCATGGATGCAAGCAAGAGCAATTGTTTTTAGGTCCTTTTTTTGTACCTAGGTACAATAAGCGCTTGACGGATTTTGCCTTTTATTTCTCTGTTCCTACCGTTGGTGGGAAGCACTGAATCTGTATCCCAGGATTTGCTGTAGTTGCTGATTGCTGTGGCTTCTTGGAACATTTTGGGGTTCATGGAGCATTCCCCTCCCCCTTCCTCCTCTCATCCTGTTTCAGTCCTTAGGCATTCGTCCCCCTAATCTTTCTCTTGAAGTTCCAGGGCAGACAGCTAGAAATTTCAGTAAGCCTGCAAGTTGAATGGGAATTGATCTTTGACCTTGAACCCAAATCTGTGAGAAACACTGCTCTCACTTTTATTTTTGTTTTGAGGTCAGAGATGAAGAAGTGGGAGATGGGACAAATGAGTCATGGTTAAGGGAGGGGTAAACTAGAAGTGCAGAATCCTGAATACCAGCAAATTAATTGAACCCTGATACCAACAAGTGGCCAAATTGTTAAATAATCTTAACTGGAGCAGAGGAAGGGAGGGTCTCCTTGTTTCTTGCTCTCTAATTCAGATCCACATATTAACCAGAGCCAGGTAAATTGAGAGCTATTTTAATAAAATGTTAGGCCAGTGAGCGGCAGTTGCTCTAATGTCTAGTCCATTCCCAACGACCAGAATTCTGATTGGCTTAAAGCCCAGCTGTATTGTTCATTCCAGCCAATCAGGGATTAGTTTAGTCGTCGAAGCTGGTATTTTAAGCTTTAAAAAGCTGACTGAGTACCCCTGGGCACTTGCTTTTGCTTTCTTTTTCTAGGACTTTAGAAGATTGGAGAACAATGGTCAGCGGCTGCCTAGGTGCCTTGTGGTCTGATGCAGAGTCCCTCTGAGAGCCCATTTCTCCCTTATTCCACTAGTGTTTGGTCCCCTTTCTCCAATGCTGAGTGATGTGGAAGTTACTTAGAGGTCATTCCAGGTATTCTTTTGAACTGTCTGAATTTCAGCAGTAAGGGCAGGAATCAGAGTGTATGTTATCCCAGTTGTATATTTGTTTTCTTTGGTTGAAAATTTTTTTCTCCTCCAGCCAGATCAAAATGGCAGTTTCATGTGTTTTACTCCACCATCGTCGGGTATGAGTGGTTTGAGAATGATAAGATGAGGAGGAATATTTGACTTTTAAAGTCTAATTTCGAGACTTGTTCTTTTGGCATGTAACTTAATGTTTGTGTGGGGAGGCCAGACCGCCTGATAAGCAATGTGTTAACTATCTCTTCTGATTCTAATATTAAACTTTGGGGTGGGGGGGGTTGAGACATGCAGGAAGGGGCCTCTCTTATTCTTTAAGTTTCTGTCCTGAGAGTTTGTTCTCAGTTTGCTCTGAGGCAGTCAGCCACCTATTGAACTAAAGAACCTAGAAAACTTTGGAAGCAAAATACTATATGATAATTCATATTCCCCACATTGGTTCCCATCTCCACCCCACCTCCCAAAAAAACCCTCAGAAAACAACCTTTTTCTTAGTACCTCAGTGCTAGATTTTTTTTAAAAGATTTTATTTATTTATCTTTAGAGGGGAAGGGAAGAAGAGAGAGGGAGAGAAACATCAATGTATGGTTGCCTCTTGTGCGTCCCCTGCTGGGAACTGGCCTGCAACCCAGGCATGTGCCCTGATTGGGAATTGAACCGCAATTCTCTGGCTCGCAGGCCCGCACTCAGTCCACTGAGCTACACCAGCCAGGGCTCAGTGCTAGATTTTTGATGGGTGCTAGTGTTATCTATCTATCTCTTGATTCTAATGTTAAACTTTGGCAGGGGGCAGAGATGTTACAGAATGGGGAACCAAGGAATAGGAAATGATGAGTTTGGGGCTCTGTTATGCAAACAAGTCTTTGCATTCCC